TGGATCGGTTCCCAACGACTCCCCCGCTGAACCTTAAAGTCGAGACACTGAAGGACAAACCGGTCCTGGACTGATGATGCAGGGGGAACGATGTCCAGCCGAACCGTCTGACCTGCAGAGAGCGAGGAACTGATCAGATGTTGGGTCGCTGAGAGGTTCAAACAGACTGGAGATCACCTGACCATCATAATAATAATGATAATAATAATAATAATTTATATATCTCAAAAACAAGTTTAAAAGTTGACAGACATAAAAACAAAATGTAAAGCGCAGTATTAGTTTAATGTAGCTAAATATGAAAACAGTAGAGATGATGAATTGAAATTTGAGAATAACCAAATTAATGGGAGCAAACAAACAAAAACTCACCGGTTACTTTCCTTTATGACACAGTGTCTTTCTGTGTCTGTTAGGGGTGCATGATTAATATTCATACTAGGGATGCACCGATATGGATTTTATTCAACCGATACTGATACTTATCTGCATCTCATGGCCGATAACTGATAACTTTACATTTGTATTTTAAGCAGAAGTGTATAACGTGTAGTCTGTGTTCACCTGAGGCTCAGAGAGGCTGGTTTAATGTTCCACAGCTCTGACCGAACCAAATCAAACTGTTAACACAACAAACACAAACAACAGGTGTGACTCTTCATACCTGCGGACATCAGGACCACCCTCACTGGCCCCGCCCCCTTATAACCCTACACGAGTGGAGTCTCTACTGACAGAGACAAACACTGACAGCTGATGAACATCAACATCTGCTGGATCACATGTTCATATCGTCACGCCCAGGCGCCGTCTCACTGTCCCACCACAGACCAGCCGACAGCTACTGTTGACTCACCTCACACATTAACACTCAGCTCACACACACACACACACACACACACACACACACACAGAGTCAGAGAGGTAATGATACCAATAAGCACTAACCGTAGCATCACATGGCGAGCAGTTATTACTAAGTTTAACAACAGTGGAGCCTTGTAAAAGCTCTGTGCTGGATGTTAGCCACTGCTGCTAATTAGCTCGTGCTAACACTCGGTCCTTCAGCACAGTGTCTAACCTGTTTATCAGCTAGCTTGATGCTAACTGGCATCAAGGCGCTCTCCCTGTTTTCCTTTTTGAATGATGAATATAGACGACCGCCACCTGCTGTTACAGCAATCTGTTTCCTCTCACAGACACAGAACATATGTGGTAGTTGGCCGCCAGCTGCAGTCACCGCAGCGTGTTCACATGCAACTTCTTGGCCGAGAATTCTGGTCCCTGAGTCCTGACAGTAAGCTATGGCGAGCCTGTAGAAGCCTTATTTCACATGCATGTCAGCGATTTTCACTGGGGACGCACGCGAGTAATTCAGGCTGACATTACCTGCTTTTCAGCGAACTCCTCTGTTAATTTTATTAAGAGGAATGGCATATAGGTCCACAGTAACTTATTATTGGTATTATTATTATTGGGCTACAATAAGTACCGGGCCATCAAATCACAGCATCCGCAGTGCGCTTTTATGCACGCGGGTCAAGGCGATCACGGATATTTGATGTGGGGAAGATGTAGCCAGATGTATTACCTGTTTTTAAGCAGCACTGAGATACGTGGCTCATCCGTCCGTCCGTCCGTAGCACGAGTCATGTGCGCCACTTCACCACCGACCCGTGAGTAAAAGTGCAAACAATTCTGTGTCCTCTCACCACGGATGCTGTGATTTGATGATCCGGTACTCATTGTAGCTCACTGGCGAACGACCCCCTTAACGAACACGCCAGGGGTTTTTTTGTTTGTTTGTTTTTTTAACATATTTTTTGGGCATTTTAGCCTTTAATTGATAGGACAGCTTAAGTGTGAAGGGGGGAGAGAGAGAGGGAGAGACATGCAGCAAAGGGCCACAGGCTGGAGTTGAACCCGGGCCGCTGCGGCAACAGCCTTGTACATGGGGTGCCTGCTCTACCACTAAGCCACCGACCCCCTTAACGAACGCGCCGTTTTAATAGAACGGAGCACGTAGGCACTGACCTGTTGCCAAACCCGGTCTCACACCATTTCTTGTCATATTCACAGTCTATCACAGTTAGTCAACAATTAGTATCACCCCCTCCCCCCTAAAAAAACAAAACAAAAAACGGTTTTTGTGTACTAATTTTTCATAACCGTTTATGATCTCAAACACGTGTTAACATGTACACGGACTCACCCCTAGAGTGGATACACTGCAGCCTGTTTGACTGCGGCTGTCTGCAGCGCTCTCTCTCAATACTGAACACATTTCAATAAATTTCTGTTCTTGTTAGTCACGCTTAAAAAATGCTGAACCTACCCTTTTAAATACAGCAGACATGAATCACTTGGTTTTAACAGATGCGTTTTAACTGTGAACAGTGAACCCAACACGTACTAAACATGTTCTCCATGTTCAGTGAAAATCCCGACAAAGTCTAAAACAAACTGAGAGCAGTTGTAAAGAGATTAAAGCAGAAGGAGTACGAGCAGACTGCTGCTCCTTTAAAGCCCGTCTGCCAAATGTTCTACAGGCTGAACAGCATCTGAAGAGACTGAACTGTAAACTGTGACACAGTCTGACTGACTCGGGACCCTGACCGACAGGAGCGGTCTGATTTTTGCAAAGTTTCCGGCCCCTCAGCTGATCATTGTGATGATCCAAACATGTCTGATTGAGACTTTTACAGTCCCGACTGTACAGACCAAAACAAGAGAACAAAAAAGCAACACACTCACAACACTGGCGGTTTAATTTCAACTTATTAAGATCAACATTTTTGCAGGAAAGCATCCATATTTAAAAATGAAAAGGTGTTTGAGGATTCGGAGATGTGGCTGTATCAGCACTCCACCCATCCATCATCAACCATCAGATGCCTTTAGATCCCTTTTCTCCAAAGACCCCCCTCATCGACCCCCCACCCTCCTCTTCCTCTGCTGATGTCGAGGTTGAGACGCGTGAAGGACGAGCAGCAAATCCAATCAGCGAGCGTCGAGCTGCATCACTGCCGTCACTGTGGCAGAGCTAATCCACACAGCAACACTGCGGTGCACTAACACTGATGTGCTGCCACAGATCCGAGCCGGAGGTAATGAATGAGAAATAATTCTGTTAAGTGTTGTGACTCCATCGTGGAGCGGCTCAGGAACAAACACAGAGGGAATGATTGTTGTGATGATAATGCAGCTGGCCGTCCCATCATCCCCCGCTCCGCTTATCACACGTACCGACTGGACAGACTGGATCAGATGATCAAGAGAAGTGAACAGATTTAATTTCCTCTGGTGTTCATGAACCTCAGGAAGAACAACGACGTGCTCCAGAGCCCACTTTGATTTTTTCAAAATTACTGTTTGAGAAGCTGTAACTGTAAAATTTGGCTTTTTTTTTTTTTTTGGTTTGTAAATGAGCAAAACAACTAACCAAATACCAAGATTGATTTTCTTTTGGTTGATTAATCAGGTCATTATCTCTAAATGCACTGAACAACATGGAATTTTCCACCATGTTTATACCTCAGTATCGCTGCCTTTAATGTCTGACGGTGTATCAAGCCTTCCTTTGGTAATGCTAGAAATCAATCAGTAATTATTTTGATTAGTCAGGTATTTATTTCACGTCATCCAAAAACAGACATTACTATATTTAACATTGCTCACATATTTTACTTTTTTTTTTCTTTTTTTTTTCCCCAGATATTTTACGAATGGTTTTTGGATATTATACACATTTTTTTATTTTATTTTTAACCATTTTTTCAGATATTTTACTTTTTTCATATAATTTATTATTATTTCGGAATTTTTTTAACAATGATTTTAGGATATTTTTTCAGGATAATTTTCTTACATCTTTCAAATATTTTACTCATAAGTTTTGGATATTTAAGTTTTTTTTTTTTTTTTTTTCAAATTACCAATAATTTCCAGATTTTTTCAGAATTGATTTTCCGATAATTTTTTAATATTTTCTTTTTGATATTTTTGTTATTTGTTGTCTTTTTTCCCCAAATCTTTCACTAATAATTTTCAGATAGTTCAGTAATTATCTTGAATTGTTCATAATCATTTTGAGTTTTTTTTTATATTTTTGAGTATTTTACCTATAATTTTTGGACATTTACAGAATATTTTTTTAAATGTTTTTCTGCTCATTTTCAGATATTTTATTGTTGTTTTGGAATTCTTAACTTTTTTAAAAATATTTTCACTATACTTCAGTGAGTATTTTGCTTATAATTTATAAGATGATATATATTTTTTTCTCTGAATATTTTTCTTATAATTGATGTTATTGCTATACTACTGAAAATTAAATACATCACAACATTTATGGATATTGCAGTCTCACATTACTGTATGTCATGATAGGTGATTAAAGTCCTGAATCAGATTTTAAGAACAGAAACATTTAAAGTGAGTTTTTGATGATGCAGCAGAAACAGACGCTCCTCGCTCTAACTTTCCTCTTCAGTTGAATCATTTTCTCCCCATCAGAGGAAACTCTGCGACTGTTTGATGCCTGAAACATTAAATCTGTCTGTGAACAAGTTTAAACTCATTAAGATGATCTCACAGCTGTATTTCTAACTCCTACACGTCCACACGTGTCCATGGGTCTCCACAGTGAGCACTCACAGCTTGTGATCAGACCCGGTCAAGTTTCTCACTCACTAGTTTAGTTTACGACCCCCTCGGCGGCACCCGGCCTCGTCCAATCAGATGGTAACAGGAGCCTGACAGGTGAGTGCAGACGAGGGTCTGAGCAGGTGTGCCTTCAGATGGAGGGAAACTGTAGAGGCTGAAACACTCTCTGCTGCTCAGAGTAAGTGTGTTGGGAGGACGTGGACATGTTTTTACTCACTGACGGATGTTTCAGGTTATCAAAATAACTTTCTTCTTTTTACTTGGTCTCTGATGGAACTGGATTATTTCTAATGTTTGACCTAAATGCGCTCTCCCTCTGCGTGCCTCTGTTTCAGCATACTCCCAGCACATGGAGAACCATATCAGCCCCCCCAACTTCCTGGGTCAGCCCCTCCCCCCGCCAGCATCCTCAGGACGCTACTCCCCGACCCCGAAGAGCATGCTGGGAGACGACGATGTCACCCGGTGAGGACCAACACATCTCGTTTTACCCTTTCTGACGTTTTCAGACAGCAGACTCAAAGATGGGGATTGTTATTCAGTGTTTTTTTCCCCTCAAATTTGGCACAAACTTCCACTTGGACTCAGCAATAAACTGATCACATTTTGGTGGTTGCACGTTAAACATGAAGGTCACTGTGACCTTTAGTCTGTCTCATGTTCTTAAAAGCAATATCTCAAGAACACCTGAGGGAATTTGATCAATGAATTATTTAGAATTTGGTGGTCAAAGATCAACGTCACTGTGACCTTGTCCATTGCGTTCTTGTAAAGACAGTATCTCGAGAACGCCCCAAGGAAATTATTTTCAGATTTGACACAAACGTCCCCTTGGACTCAAAAATAAACTGATTACATTTTAGTGGTTGTATGTCAAAGGTCAAGGTCACTGTGACCTTGCATCCATCTCATGTTAGTGAAAGCAATATCTTATTAACACCTTGAGGGAATTTGATTGATGAATGAATACGATTTTGGTGGTTAAACTCACTGTCAATGTGGTCAATATTACTGTGATGTTTCATCCATCTAATTCTTGTGAACACCATATCTTGACAGCTGTGAGGGAATTTTCTCACATTTGGCACAAACTTGCGCTTAGATTCAACAATAAGCTGATTAGTTTGGTGGACAAAGGTCACTGTGACCTTGTCCATTGCATTCTTGTAAAGACGGTATCTCAAGAATGCCCCAAGAAATTCTTTTCAGATTTGGCACAAACGTCCACTTAAGGCCCGAACATACTCGGGCGGAACATATGCGGAACGGACTCCGCGGAGGTCCGCGCAGACTCAAAGCGGACGTCCGCAAGCCCTGTGCGCGCAAAGCTCAGATTTTACGACCGCGCGGACTCCGCTCCGCGCACCAGTGACTGCTCGGCATGTATTTTTCACATCGCGGGGATTTTTCACGGACATTTTTACAGGAAATTACAACGCGGAAGTGCGCTCGACTATGGAAGCCCGAATGACTGCGGACATTCCTCGCGGAGTCCGTTCCGCTTATAGTACGCCCGAGTATGTTCGGGCCTTTAGACTCAACAGTAAACTAATTTGATTTTGGGGGTTGTCCTTTCAAGGTCACTGTGAACACGTTGGTCTCATTCTTGTGACTGCAATATCTCAAGAACATCTTCAGGAAAATTGAATAATGAATTAATTCTATTTCGGTGGTCAAGGGTCAAGATTACTGTGACCTGTCTAATCTTGTGAAGACCATATCTCAAGACGGCCTTGAGGACATTTTCTCAAGTTTGGCACAAACTTATGCTTTTACTCAACAATAAACTGATAACTTTTTGGTGGTTGTATGTTAAAGGTCAAGGTCACTATGACCTTGCATCCATCTAATGCTTGTGAAAGCGATATCTCAAGAATACCTGGAGGGAATTTCTTCAAATTTGGCACAAACATCCACTTAGACTCAATGAATAAGCTGATTAGAATTTGGTGGTCAAAGGTCAGTGTGACCTCACAAAATATGTTTTTGGCCATAACTGAAGAATTCATTCACTAATTCTGACCAAACTTGATACAAATGTCTAACAGGATAAAATAATGAAGGTCAAAAGGTCAAAGGTCAGCTTGACTGTGACATCATCGTGTTTGAAACTGTGCTGATTGTAGTTTAACGCATCCACACACTGATTTGATCACCAATTAGTCACGTCTGAGATATTTACAGAAAAGGAGCAGGTGTGTGTTTCAAGTATCAGACGTTCCTCAGTAAATTTAGCAAATAATTAATAATGTTAGTGTAGAAATTATCATTGTAATGTGTAAAGTACGTTGTTATCAAAGATACTTAATGACAAAATAATGTTGTGTTTGTATTTTTACTGCTAAAATCCCTCTTTACAGAGAGGCAGAGTATTTTGGAGGGATATTGTACTTTTACAGCAGCTGTGTGCAAAAACAGATAAGAGACCAAAACAAATACAGACATTACTTATCAACAGTCTATAATAATTTATTGAACCTGGAAACATGCAGAGAGCAGCTGATGTTCAGCAGGTTAATGTCGCCGCCCTCTGCTGGTGTTAACCTGCAATTACACACAACACCACCGTCACTCCTGCACTGACACACACTCACCAGGTGTTATTACAGCTGTAAAAAATCAGGATGATTGACAGCTGTGTGTGAGGTCACACGACGTCAGGATGATTGACAGCTGTCTGGTCCCACAGGGAGCCCAGGAAGGTGGTGCTGCACAGAGGAGCGACAGGACTGGGCTTCAACATCGTGGGCGGGGAGGACGGAGAGGGAATCTTCATCTCCTTCATCCTCGCTGGAGGACCAGCTGACCTCTGTGGAGAGCTGAGGAAAGGAGACAGACTCGTCTCCGTACGTACACACACTTTTATCACACACCTTTATCAGTTTTAAATGTGTTATAAAATCAATGTCAGTCTAAGCTGATGCCATATTGACCATATTTTCAGAGCTTTATGTTGCTGTCAGACCACCTTTTCCTCCTGCGCTACATTTTCTCAACTGTATAATTCCAGTATTTGTACATTAAACGCTGAACTGTGGTGCGCACTGTATCAAGCTGCAGGTCAGAAAGTTGTTGCGCGCGTGACTGAAACAAAACGTCACTTTTATAATGATTTCAAAGATGGCTGGTGCTTGGGGGAGCCCCTCTGAGTGGAGTCAGCGTGGGTTTCCTCCAGGTGCTCCAGCTTCCTCCCACAGTCCAAAGACATGCAGGTTAATTGGTGACTCTAAATTGTCTGTAGGTGTGAATGGTTGTCTGTCTGCTGTACCCAACAGGGGTGTGAATCTCCAGGCACATCACAATTCAGAGGGTAACGATAACAGAAATAATAAAACGATTATCGATGCATCAACAGTTTTTTTTTTTTTTTTTTCTTTTGACTTCAGACTGTATTGTGGGTGATCCATCATTAACTAAACAGATTATTTGACTTGTCCAGGTCCCTTCAGCCTACCTCCATACCCTGTTGAACCAGGAGGCGCCAGTTGGGTTGGGTCCATCTGTGGACGCTCGTGCTCGTCCACTTATATATGGGACATACACAGGCCTGCATAGGGTTGGGTTGGAGTGCTCCGCCAAAGCTGCTGTGTTCTTATTTATGTTCTGCCAGCAGAGGAACTGCGACGCTGGGCAGCCAGGCACGAGGTTTTTAAGGTCAAACAGACGGAGCAGAGACAGAGGTGTTTTCATCTGGTTCATGGTGCAGCGTGTGTTGGTCGGCTGGTTAAAGTGCTGATCGCTGCTCATGTCAGTCGCTGGGTGATGGCGTCAGAAAGTACTCACAACATACGTCATGTTCGCCTCGCAGACGTGATTTTTTTAGATGTATCATGAAGTGATTTTGACCACTCCACTCATCATTTAGTCGCTGTTTGGCTTGGACCTGCATTTATGTTGGCACTGGTGGATATAAAACAAGACCATCAGCCTCCACAGCTCCCACTAACAGTGCAGCTCAACATGCACTGAAACAAAACTAAATGAAACACGTGCAACAGCCACACCACCTGGATTAGCCGCGGCTAACAGCTAACAAGCTAATAAAGTTACCTACACAGTGACCTGTACAGGTTCTTGCTCCAAATACGTCTCCAGCCCCCCGACATCATCACAGAACATTCATCAGTCTTTCCAGGAGCTTTTATGACAAATAAAACACACGTTTAACCATAAAAAGTATTTGTATTTGTCAAAACCAACCTACCACGAGTCCAGGTCCAGGTCCGAGTCCAGGTGAAATCTGCAGGGGCTCGTCAGTGTGGTGTTCAAGTACACACACAAAAAAAATGAAAGAAATCTCTGTGGTAACTAAAACATCTCAACAAACAACATAAGACAGAAAATAACCTGATAATGACACATGAATTAAAATCAGTGCAGCTTCCATAACGACAGGAAGTGACATCACCAACTTATTAACTCCATTACACAGACGTTAAATTAAAACAAGCTGCAGCCGACGTCTTTTGTGAAGATTAATTAGTACAAGTTAACTTTAGCTCGTCCACACTGGGTGCTACGCTGACTTCACAGCTGCCTTTTGTTCCTTTTGTAACATCATGTTATGAACAAACAAAAAAATCGTCTACATCTGTATCACGATGCATCTAAGAACTGATATTTTCCCCCCTAGTACCCAGCGATCAGAGAAAATTATGCTTCATTTCATTGTTGTCATAATCGCTGAGTTTGTTTATTGTCTTGTGTTTGTTGTCTCCTCCATAAACCGCTGCGAGTCTGACCCAAACAGCTGACCGGCGGCATAATACTTTGTTTTTGTGTAGGAATACTTTTTTGAGAAACAGTAGCGCCAAAGGGAAGAGCTGTCTGACAGCAGGGTAAATAATGCGGTAAAAATATATTCAATAAAACATCCACTTTGACTGATCTTGAGTTTTTAAGTTAGGCCTTTTTTTTTAGAGGCCCCACCTCAATAAACCCAAACTGTCCCTTTTAGAGAAAGTGGAGGAAACTAAAAACAAGCCGCTGCAGATTTTTGTTAATTTATAAATCAATCTTCAAACGTCTTCTATTCACAAATATGACCTGTAAGAAAACACTCACACACTAGCACTTTATTCCTGATGAGTACCTGCTGTGTTTAACGCTGTAGTCTGTGTGTCGCTGTTTTTAGGTAAATGGGGTGGACCTGCGTAACGCCACCCACGAACAGGCAGCCGCCGCCCTGAAGAACGCCGGGCAGACGGTGACCATCATCGCCCACTACAGACCAGAGGGTGAGACACCTGGACGCACCCGCACGACACGTCACATCAAATTATTATCAGATGTCCACTGAGGCTGTTAGAAGCTTTCAGGCTCTCACTAACACCTCACGTTCATTTTCCATTATGTCCTGGAAAAACCTGGAATTCTGTCGAGCAGCTTCCCAGTCATGAAAGTCGTTGAAAACCGTCTTTGAACTGTCTTTGACTGTGAACTTCCTCTTCCTGTCCAGAGTACAGTCGGTTCGAGGCGAAGATCCACGACCTGAGAGAGCAGATGATGAACAGCAGCATCAGTTCTGGATCTGGATCTTTGCGAACGAGTCAGAAGAGGTCGCTGTACGTCAGGTGAGACGACAGGCGCCGATGTATGGAGGTTCAAAATGGACAAAAATGATAAGACTTATTATGGTCATGTAGTGTTTGTATTCATAAAACCAGATTTAAAGATGAAATTGGTTTTAAATATTTTGTTTTTATATTATTTATAAATTAATTTATCATTTTAGTTTTGCTACACCTGCAGTGTGAAGTGACGCTTCACCAGAAGATGTTTAACCGAAAAATCAAACTTACTTTTAACTTTTTTTGGGGAGGGTTTAAAAAATATGCAAATTAAATAGTTTATCAAGTTATATTTAATTACTCAACTAAATGTCTTAGTTCATAATTAAATTATTATATGAAAACTAAAATGATTGATGATGAGAAAAAGATTCTCTGAGCTGAATGTATCAATAATTAAATAATAATTTGATAAATGTAATTAATTAATCAGACAAAATTGAATTACAGTTAATTTTGAAGTAGATAATTTTAGAAGACTAGTTTGCATGAATCAAATTAAACTGGAATAATAACATAAATATATTTATTTGTTATTGATTAAAACTGATAGCAATGTAATCAATTCAACTCAGCGGCCACTTTTTTATGTCTCCTGGTCTTCAGGTGAGGTGTGACTGGAAGCTTTGAAAACAATATTTTTGTTTCCAGTAGATTGTAAAATGATGTGTTAACGTGTGTGTGTGTGTGTGTGTGTGTGTGTTGCAGAGCTCTGTTCGACTACGATAAGACCAGGGACTCCGGTCTGCCCAGTCAGGGACTCAACTTCAAGTTTGGAGACATCCTCCACGTGGTGAACGCCTCTGACGATGAGTGGTGGCAGGCCAGACAGCTGACGTCACAGGGGGAGGTGGAGGAGGTGGGGGTGATCCCCAGCAAAAGACGGTCAGTCACTCACACACACACACACACACACACACACACACACACACACACACACACAGAATCATGTGACCTGTGTGTTTACATGTTATAGATTCACCTGTATCACATGTTAGTACCTGCGAGGCTCCTCTTGTTATGCCTCCCCATATCTCATGAACAGCTCAAAAGAATGTCCTCAAATTTGGCACAAACGTCCACTTTGACTTAACAAGGAACTGATTAGATTTTGTCGGCCAACAGTCACTGTAACCTCGCATCATCTCATTCTTAGAGCGCATTATATCAAGAAGGCTTTGAGAGAATTTTTCAAATTCGGCACAAACATCCACTTTGACTCAACAATGAACACAAATTCTTGTGAACAAATATCTCATCAACAGCTCAAAGGAATTTCCTCAAATTTGGCAAAAACATCCACTTGGAATTACGAATGAGCTGATGAGAATAAGGTCAAAGGTCAATGTGACCTCACCAAACATGTTTTTGGCCATAACTCAAGAATTCACACACTAATCATGACAAAACTTGACACAAATGTCTAACAGGATAAAATAAAGAACTGGTGACATTTTATATCCAAAAGGTCAAAGGTCAACTTGACTGTGGCATCATCATGTTTTAACGTCATATCTAAGGAACAGAAGGGGAGACATTTGGTCAGATACTGAATTGCTGACCTGAAAACGCTCCATCAGCCTGAAATAAATCAAACGGCGGCGGCACCAGCAGTGAATAATCTCCCCAAGTATTGAATAAAAATATATTTAATAACAATCTGTGGGTCCATGATTTAGGGCTAACTAACTTACTAAAGTAACTAGCTTCCTCCTTCTTCCAAGCGCAGCTGGTTGCTAGGTAACAGTAATGCCAGTAGAGACAGAGCGCAATGCGTCATAATCTGAAAGCCACGCCCCCAAAGGGGAAACGAGGCCCGCTTTCCCCTTCGCTTCTTCGCTCGTTCGCTGTCATTCTGCCTCCGCAGCCGCGCCTTCAAGTCTCCATGACTGAATTGCTAGCTAGCTAAAATTATTAGCTATAGCTAGCTAATAATTTTAGCTAGCTATAGCTAATAATTAGCTAATAATAAGATGGCAAAGGATTATTTTAGCACGCTATGCCTACCAGAGAGGCAGCGGTACATTGATAAGCTTAATATTGCCGCTCTACCTCAGTGTCCCGTCTCCTTACCTTGATCGTCTTGGAAAAAACACGATGTGGAGAATCTTTTTTAAGAAGATGAGCTCTGGGCACAATTATAACACAAGTTGCATTCATACTGTCAATGCTTTAGCTTAACATACAGTACAGGCCAAAAGTTTGGACACACCTTCTCATTCAATGCGTTTTCTTTATTTTCATGACTATTTACATTGTAGATTCTCACTGAAGGCATCAAAACTATGAATGAACACATGTGGAGTAATGTACTTAACAAAAAAAGGTGAAATAACTGAAAACATGTTTTATATTCTAGTTTCTTCAAAATAGCCACCCTTTGCTCTGATTACTGCTTTGCACACTCTTGGCATTCTCTCCATGAGCTTCAAGAGGTAGTCACCTGAAATGGTTTCCACTTCACAGGTGTGCCTTATCAGGGTTAATTAGTGGAATTTCTTGCTTTATCAATGGGGTTGGGACCATCAGTTGTGTTGTGCAGAAATCAGGTTAATACACAGCCGACAGCCCTATTGGACAACTGTTAAAATTCATATTATGGCAAGAACCAATCAGCTAACTAAAGAAAAACAAGTGGCCATCATTACTTTAAGAAATGAAGGTCAGTCAGTCCGGAAAATTGCAAAAACTTTAAATGTGTCCCCAAGTGGAGTCGCAAAAACCATCAAGCGCTACAACCAAACTGGCACACATGAGGACCGACCCAGGAAAGGAAGACCAAGAGTCACCTCTGCTTCTGAGGATAAGTTCATCCAAGTCACCAGCCTCAGAAATGGCAAGTTAACAGCAGCTCAGATCAGAGACCAGATGAATGCCACACAGAGTTCTAGCAGCAGACCCATCTCTAGAACAACTGTTAAGAGGAGACTGCGCCAATCAGGCCTTCATGGTCAAATAGCTGCTAGGAAACCACTGCTAAGGAGAGGCAACAAGCAGAAGAGATTTGTTTGGGCCAAGAAACACAAGGAATGGACATTAGACCAGTGGAAATCTGTGCTTTGGTCTGATGAGTCCAAATTTGAGATCTTTGGTTCCAACCGCCGTGTCTTTGTGAGACGCAGAAAAGGTGAACGGATGGATTCCACATGCCTGGTTCCCACTGTGAAGCATGGAGGAGGAGGTGTGATGGTGTGGGGGTGTTTTGCTGGTGACACTGTTGGGGATTTATTCAAAATTGAAGGCACACTGAACCAGCATGGCTACCACAGCATCCTGCAGCGACATGCCATCCCATCCGGTTTGCGTTTAGTTGGACGATCATTTATTTTTCAACAGGACAATGACCCCAAACACACCTCCAGGCTGTGTAAGGGCTATTTGACCAAGAAGGAGAGTGATGGAGTGCTGCGGCAGATGACCTGGCCTCCACAGTCACCGGACCTGAACCCAATCAAGATGGTTTGGGGTGAGCTGGACCGCAGAGTGAAGGCAAAGGGGCCAACAAGTGCTAAACACCTCTGGGAACTCCTTCAAGACTGTTGGAAAACCATTTCAGGTGACTACCTCTTGAAGCTCATGGAGAGAATGCCAAGAGTGTGCAAAGCAGTAATCAGAGCAAAGGGTGGCTATTTTGAAGAAACTAGAATATAAAACATGTTTTCAGTTATTTCACCTTTTTTTGTTAAGTACATAACTCCACATGTGTTCATTCATAGTTTTGATGCCTTCAGTGAGAATCTACAATGTAAATAGTCATGAAAATAAAGAAAACGCATTGAATGAGAAGGTGTGTCCAAACTTTTGGCCTGTACTGTATATAAATACAGTTAACTGTTACTCTAACAAACACATTTGGAGGGTTTGACAAAGTGTTTGCTGCACACATAGACATACCGAGTGTCAGGATCCCACAGTTTCTCCCCTGTTGAAGCCTCACGTTTTATTGTCTGTATCCACTTCAGTCTTCTAAAAGGTTCCGTTTTTCTGCTCGGCAGCTGATTAAAGCTAAGCTCTGGGTTTTTATTGGCCGTGCAGCCCACCACACAGCAACTTTTCAGTATTTGGACTGAGGGAAAACTCAACAGGCTGGAAACAGAGAGGGAAAGTGAGAGGGGAAAGCGGGCCTCGTTTCCCCTTTGGGGGCATGGCTTTCAGATTATGACGCATTGTGCTCTGTCTCTATGGGTCGGGGAGAGAACAACTGGTGATGCAACCAGGAAATCCTCCACAGACCAGACGTCCCATTGCGGAGACTGTTTGGTTTGGCTGATGCGGTCTTCAAAGAAAGTGGCTGACGTAGACCGCGAATGCTGCGTCCTTCAAAGGCTGCAGATACACGTTCTCAGCTCGACCAAACAAAGTCCGAGTTCAAGCTGATGAAATGTTGAGAGCGGCAGTGATGTTCAGTGTCACTGGATCACAGACACCGATCATGAGCAGAGACTGAAGGAACTGGCACTTTAATGACCTCATCTGCAAGAGCTGTCTGATGTCTTTACTGAAACTTGACCTCTGACCTTCTGACCTCTTTGACCTCAGGGTTGAGAAGAAGGAGAGAGCGAGATTAAAGACGGTGAAGTTCAACGCAAAGTCTCGAGACAGAGGGGTGAGTGTTTGACTTCAGCTCCACTGCAGCAGGAACACAGTTAGATCCGGCAGTTCTGTACCATGTTAGTCTGAGGCCCATGATACTGTGAATTATGGACACTGCTCTGACTCAGCTGGCTTCTGTGACAGTTATCGGCATGAAACAGGTCTCTGCAGGTTTTAAGGTTTGAGGGGAAATAAATGATGTAAATAAATATAGTAAGCCTTGACTCCCTGAAGATGCTGCTCAGCGGGATGATGAAGAAACAGAAAAACACTTCAAAGTGCTGCCAGACAGGCCTGGGCCATGTTACGACTATGTACGATATATATCGATATATTTTCAAGTAAGATACTGATTACGACAACACAGTTTATATCGAGACAAGTTACGTGACATACTCACAAGTTCTCCAGCAACACTCAGAGCGACACAGAGCTGCTCCTGTGTTTAATCTGTCTGCTCATTAGTCTGATGAAGGTTTTAATATTTAAAAAGTATTTTCTAATATATAAAATATAGATTTCATTGTAGAAATTTGGATTTTTTCAGGCTCAGGCTAAAAACTGCTGCCATGGGTCTGGCTGGACCTGGACAGAAACTGTGCAGGTTCACGTGGGGTTGGGATAATTTTTTGGGGTCCCATCAGAGCTCTGGGTGTGTCTGACTGAAATGTTGCGTTAATTATCTCACTGAAGAAAGCAGTTCTTGAATCAGTGTTTCGAAGACGCTCTTCGGCTTCACTCAGCTTGTTTCTCTGCTAACTGAAGATCCAGGCGTTGAACCTTCCAGTGACTAAAATCTTTAATCCGGTGAAAAGATCTAGTTAAAAACAACTTAGACCTAAAACGTCACAGTGATGTGAACATCAAGAACGTAGTCGCACTGGAAATGTGTTAACATCCGTCTATCTGTCTGCGGCGTGCACTTGTGTAAAGCCTGCCTCAAATAAAGGTCGATGTTTCTTCAGACTGTTGTTTAGTTTTACTTGACTGTCGCTGCAGCAGCAAACAGAAACTCGTCCCTGAACTTTGAACATTTTACCATGAAAGAACCAGAAGTGTTGCCCATAATTCACCAAAGGTATCATGGGTAATCTGTCGTTTAGTGCAGTCTGTATCTGAGCTCTCGCTTAGCTGCATTTAAAGGGACAGTTCAGATGTTTTGAAGTGGGGCTGTATGATATATTACATACAGTCAGTTTGGAGAAGCAGGCTGGAGTCTGACATGGGAGCTAAACATGATCCTGCTGTGGACGGGTCGGCAACAAAACGTATGTTAGCCACCTAAGAAATCAATATGAGTTAACGTGTGCACTGGTTGGAAATCACTGTCTGTTAATGTAAAGCAGTGAAAACATTCTCAACACAGCGTACACTTCACACACTGTTATTGATTTCTCAGGTGTCTAGAATTAATTTTGTTGCTGACCCGTCCACAGCCGTACATTGTTGAGTTTCCTTCTCCACACTGGGGGCGTGCTGACTGACATGTACTGTAAGCGCCTCATACAACGCCGCTTCAGAACATGTGAACTGTCCCTTCAGTGTATTCAGCTCCTGTAGTGACTGATTTAATTTTGCATGTCGTGAGAATTTCTCTTCATGTGTTGTAAATGTGTGTGAAGATGAACTCTGTGTTTGAGCCGCAGCCACCTACTAATGTGTGTTTGACTAATGTTTAAAACCAGCCAGTTAACAGCATGTTGTTGTCGATCTCTGAGACGTTTCCTCTTCTTCACCGCTCCAACGTCTCAGCAGCAGAGCCGCAGCAGCAGCGCCTCCCCCAGCACCTTTTTTTAAAAAACGTGTGTCGCTTTAACACGCGTTGCCAAAACGCCCCGCCCAGCGCCACCCGCCAACCCGCCCTCTAACACACCACACTGACGGGGGAAGAAAAACCAACATGCATGAGCTCCCCCCGCCGACCCCTCCGCTGCTCTCCTCATACAGAGAGAAACGCTTGACATTGATGTCTGACTGTCTGCTGCTCACAGAAACCTTCCTCCTCCTCCTCCTCCTCCTCCTCCTCCTCCTCACCACTCACCTCTCTCATCCCCTTGCCCCGGCCTCTCTTTGCAGCATGTGACCTAATGATGTCATCAGTATCCAGTGAGTCCACTTAGTTTTTATGAAGCATTAATAATGAAATCACCTCAGTGTGTAACTGCTCACGAACAAGAGTCACTGTTAACAAAATCATTGAAGCATTATTGAAGACAGCAACAGAACATAATTTGAGTAGGGTTCCAGTGATACGACATTTCCACGGTACAATAACCGTCAGAGGGGTTATTGTTGGTGGAACAAGTAAAATAGATTCTCCTCATCATCACCAAAAATTCCTCAGGACCAATCGGAAAAGTTGAACCTCTTTTTTCAACACAAACGTTCGCGCAGAAGAGTTGACTGTTTGCAAAGTCCAAAGCTTTTAAAAATGAGGAGGTGAAAGAGAGGTCAGAAAACTGAGACTCCACTCTCCCTGCCTGTCAACACCTCCAATATATTACACTCTGGACGAGAGTGTAAAAAAGGGAACTGAATGTTCAGTGTGTCAGATTTAGGGCAATTAGTGGCATCAAGTGGTGACGACTGCAGATTACAACCAGCTGAAACTTCTCCTGGTTAGAATTCCTTCAGAGGTCATTGTTCAGGAGGTTTTTACAAAACAAACAGATCAGCGGTCTCCTTTATAAAACAGTGCATACTAAACATATATGTACAGACAAAAGCCAAAACAACAAAAATGACAATTTCTACAATCAGGCTTCCACCTCACCATCTGTGTCGCCAGTGCCAATATTTTTTTTAAGTATTTTCGGCACTTTCCTTGTGGAGAGGCTGCGAACTACAAACATCAATGTCCCTATCTGGAGTCAGCTTTTGTTTGTCTGTTCTGGGCTACTGTAGAGACATGGCAGTGCAACATGGTTAATAAAATGTCTGGAAAATCTGTTATTAAAATGCCCAAAAACTGACAATAAGATGCTTAAGAAATATTATAAAAATATCAGAAAAAAAAAATTCTAAATATGTCCAAAAAAGTTGATGAATTGTGCAAAAAATTGTATTAAAGTGTCCAAAACATGTTTGAAAAGTGTTAATAAAATGTCCAAAAACATATTATTAAAATGTTTATAAAATGTCTGGAAAATATTATTTAAATGTCAGAAAAAAGTGTTGATGAAATGTCCAAAAATTATTAATAAAATGTCAGAAAAATATCATTAAAATTTCAGAAAAAAATGTTAATAAAATGACCAAAAAATATTAATAAAAGTTATGAAAAATGCTGATAAAATGTCCAAAAAAATTATAAAATGTCTGAAAAAAATGTAATTAAAATGCCCCCAAAACTGATAATAAGATGCTTAAGAAATATTATAAAAATATCAGGAAAAAAATTCAATATATGTCCAAAAAAGTTGATAAATTGTTCAAAAAATGTTCACAAAATGTTTGAAAAGTGTTAATAAAATGTCCAAAAACATATTATTAAAATGTTTTTAAAATGACCAAAAAATATTAATAAAACATCTGAAAAATGTTGATAAAATGTCCAAAAGTGTGTTTTTTCTGGCGCTCCTGTCTCAGAGGGGCTGCTAACTATAGTTGCTGACATAAAAAGCATGAATGTCCCTAGTTTGTCTGTTCAGGGCTACTGTAGAAACATGGCGGGGTAGAAGGGGACCTGCTCCCTATGTAGATATAAATGTCTCATTCTGATGTAAAGAAAACACAACGTTTCTTATTTCGGCTGATTAAACACCAAAGAAAACACACTGATTATATTATATTCCATTTCTGACAGTACGTCCCCCTGAATCTGACACACTGGAGCTTTAAGGTGCTCAGTTACCAGAAAACAACAACCACAGTCTGCTGTTCCCAAATGTTACACACTCTTAACACACACACTTGAAGTGCTTTAAAGGATAAAATAATTGACCTGTTTCATTACTGCAAAGATCATCTGTAAATACGTCGACCTGTACAGAGCTTTGTGGAAGTTTCATCTGAACTGAACTGATGAAAAAGGGGCTGATGATATAATATCAGTTTGGTCTGATCGGTCTGAAGTGGATAAATCACATCTCTTAAATTTCTGACATAACTGATTTCACCTGGCTGCCTAAAATCAGCGTCTTGTCTGACGTTGGCACAGAAATGTATAGTTTTATAGCAGAAAGCCAGATGTTTTAAAACGTGCTCTTATTTTAATCATCGTATAAAGACGTGTCCGGGATCATTTTGAGGACGGTGTATCACCTAAATGAATTATCACGTAAACCTCATCAGAGCTCTGTCAGGGTTTATAGCTCCATTCACACCAGTCGTGACTCTTCTCTCTGAAACCAGTCAAACGTCTTCTCTCAGCTTGTGTCCCCTGCGTCTCTGCATGTCGTCTGCATGTTCACTCTCTCCTCTTCCTGCTTCTGTCTCTGACGTCTGCTGCCTTCACTGTCACTGCGTTAAACTCAGCCTCTGAAACACTCTCCAGGACGCCTCACGTCCAGGTTCATATGCAGATGATACCAAATGTCAGTAAGAACAAACAGCAGCTGACGTCTGGTTCTGTGGTGTGGACTGGTTTCAATGGGCAGTAAATGCTCCCACACCAGCTTCATACTGGAAAAGCACCCAATAATGTGATAATGAAAAATGTAGTGACAACAGAGAACTTGCACTTAACACTTAATGTCATAAAACCCAACGATGTGATGAAATGTCCTCACTGATGTTGTAGTAACAGTTTTACCAGTCATGTGGGCCTGATACCTTTCAGGTGGGTCATTTTTTAAATTGATTCAAAATTAAATAAAGTATGTTAGTTTCATGTTAGCCTATGAAGGAAGGCAAAACAGTCAATTTAATCTCCCTGAAATGTTCTTTAACATCAAAGTCAGCGGTGATTGTGATGAAATGAAGTGTTTCCTCAGCTTCGCCTGATTTTACGACATTTCTGCGTTTGAAAGGGTTCAAATAGAATTTAAAATTAAGAAAAAAAATTGACCTTCATATGATTATGAAGGGGCGAGGCAGTCTGACTAAAACAGATTGAAAACCACTGCTTTAACTGTTTTTAACACATTTTAATATTTTATTCTGAATACTTTTTACATTCCTGATGATTTATTCCTGATGAGGCAAAGTGTGTGTCACTAAACGTGTTTTATAAATTCACACTAATGTAATAAGGTGTTAAAAATGTCAATTATTCTTGGTCAGGTCATCACATACTTGGGTTTTATTACATTTTTAATCAAGTTAGGGGCAAATTTATTACAGGATTGTTTCTACACGTCTGTTTATTAAAACAAAGCCTCCACAGAATGGCTCATTTATTCAGAGTATATATTTAGTCTGCAGTGAGGGACATACATGGTGTCCATTACAGAACCAAGGAGATCATTTTTGGATATCTTGTATTAAAAATAAAAACACACAGTAAATGAGTCAAACTAATCCGTCATGCCGTACTCACCACTTTCTGTTTAACAACAGCGCTGTTCTTAATCAAACATTAATTCTGGTCAACTTTTTCTTTTTCTTTTAAGATTCTGTACGTAAACTCGACGTTTCCTGCAGATGTGTCAAATTAAAAGCTTATTGCCTTCGCACAGCTGGTGAAACATCTGCACAGGAAGCGTTGTGTTTCGTTCAGACAGTAAAAACCAAACCGTCAAAGTAGAAACGACTGGAATTAATTATTGAATAAAAACAATCAGTGAAACTCAGCGCGTCCTACAGATGTGGAAACACAGAGGAAATGTTGAGTTTGTATTAACAGCAAATTAAAATAGAGACAGGAAACAGGCAGGACTGTGACTGAAATATGCTCAGGTATATTTACCTGTAATTATAATGTATTGGTCATGTTTTGGAGGCTTTGTTGAGGTTGTTTACTTTGTTTACTCTTTAATTTCGACATGTTTCATGAGTTTTAGCTTTCAGTGTGATTTTCCTGTCAGCCACAGACTCAGAACAAAAGCGTCTCATTCTGTCCAAACCGACATCAGACTCCCTCCATCTCCTCCTCTTTTTTTATTCCATTACCCCTCCTCTTCCTCCTCCTCCTCTTCCTCCTCAGCAGTCTCTCAATGACAAGCGTAAAAAGAACCTCTTTTCCCGAAAGTTTCCGTTCTACAAGAGCAAAGAGGCGAGCGAGCAGGAGACCAGCGATGTCGACCGTAAGTATCCCAGCGCGGCGTGAGGTTCGGGGGGGGCGGGGAGATTGGTCGGGCAACAGGAAGAGAGGTCAGCTGGTGGCGGCGCGCTGCAAATGCGCCGGTTGTCACGGCAACAGGGCCTGGCTAAAATAATGCAACTGATCAGAGACTGCTCCTTTAGTTGATAGTTGCTGAAGTTGGTGAAAACATTTCAGCCGTGAAGGCAGAAAATCTGGTCTGATTTCCCCAAAATCTTCCTCCTCCTCCTCTTTCTCCTCCTTGTTGGAGTCAAAATGGCCGCCCTGCAGCCCTGCCGACTGGCTGCATTCCCTCTGCTCTCTCTGTCTGTCGCTGTAACTCAGTAACGTGTTGTGTTGTTTTCTCCTCGTCGTTCACTCGGCTCTGCTGACCTCAGGACAACAGTGATGACATGCTATCCAAAGGCCACAGTAAGTGTGATTCCCTCCCACCAACACCCCCCCCCCCCCCCCCCCCCCCCCCCCCCCCCCCCCCCCCCCCCCCCCCCCCCCCCCCCCACCCCCAAACTCCCATCAGCCTCTTGGTCTCCACCAGGATCCTTCTTCACAGTCCAATAAAAACAAATAAATACATGAAAAGGAGGAAAGGAAGAATGAATTAAATGTGATAATTTCCTTTAAAAAATGTTCTCGGGGGAACGAGCTCCTGATAACTTTGGCGTTCTGTATGTGTACACATGACGTCGGAGGGAGAACTGACTGATCTTAATCTAGAAAGTCTAAATCACTGTTGACTTACACCAGTATTTTTAGTTCTATTTCCTTTTCTTTTTACCAGTCCTGTAACGTGATCCCCACCACGCACAGTCTCCATCTCTCTCAGCTCAGCTGTTTCACCAGTAGAGACTGCCCTCTGGTGGCAGGCGCTGTGCACTACAATACATTACCTCAATACAGCATCTCCATATCAGTTTAATAGAAAGAGAAACATGAATTTTTGGCAGTTTCGAAATTCATACCTTTGTGATTTATCAACATCCTGTAACATCAGTACGTTGACTTGACGAAGTTGCTATTATTTTGTAAAATCAGCTCCACATTTAAACTTTTTTTCTTGCTGTAGTTGTTTTTAAAATCTTTCCATACGCTTCAGTGTGTTTCATCTGCAGCTCATCTGAAGTTTTTTTCTTGTGGAATTTAATTGTTTGGCTCCAGAATAAATCATCAAACCAACAGCTGACATCTTCTGTGGTCAATAAATCCACAAGACAAACCAAAGACAGACTCCTCCAGCAGCTGTACGCCGTCGCCAAAATCAACTGCTGTTTAAGCTTTGAAATGTCGCTGCCGTCTTTACTGTGATGTTCAGTAATATGTAGAAATATTTAGACCTTGACACAGCGTCCCAGAACGTCAACAACCAACACACCCAGGGTACCTTGGACGTCATATGTGGACGTGGAAAGTCCATGACCAAACGTGAACATGTGACGAGGTCACAGTGAGGATGTGTTGTCTCAGAATATTTACCCCAAAAACTAATAAGACTGTGTTTAAACAACTAATATCTGTTTCTGTGACAGAAGCTGGCGTCCATGTGGAGACAGTAACAGACTGAAAGGTTTCATGGTTATATCAGGACGCCTCGTCGTTCATCATCAAACTAAAATGTTAAATTAAATGTTTTGCTGAAGAGGCTGAAGTTGGTTCCTGGTGGACACGTAGCCTACCTTCCCTCCTTCTTTCCTTCCTTCCTTTCTCCTCCTCCTCGTCCTCTTCACCACCGACAGTCGAGGACCGGAGCTCCATCTCTTCACTCAGTCACAACCCTCATTCACTCATCTCTCACAGCTCACAGTGTTTACATCTTCTTCTTAAACTTTCTGTACGAGCTCGTCCCCTCAGGATCACAGACCTCAGCTCTCTCAGTGATTCAGTCATTTACAGAGAGCTCTACTGATGGATGAAACTAAAGTCACAGTGTTTCTGCTTTAAACACTGACGGGTGAATTCACAAAAAACAGACTGTAGCCTCTGACGGCGCCGTGAATCACCTGTAGCCTCTGACGGCGCTGATGATTTTACAGTACAAACATGGCCTGAAAAGAGACAGACAGCACCTTCTGGACAGCACGGGGAAACCATACAAACAGTGAAGTTAAATATAAGAAATAAAATAAGTTCATGTTTATTATTTAATGCAATATTTATGCCTCTGTGCCGACGGTAACCGTGGGCGGAGGCATCAAGTTTTCGGGTTGTCTGTTTGTCCCGTTCTCATGAACGCAATATCTCAAGGATGCCTTGAGGCAATTTCTTAAAATTTGGCACAAACATTCACGTGGACTCAAGAATGAATTTGGTGAACAAAGAGCAAGGTCACTGTGATCTCATCCATCGCATTCTTGTGAATGTGATGTCTCAAGAGGGCCTTTAATGAATTCCCTCAAATTTGGCACAAATGTCGAGTTGGACTCAACAATAAACTAATTACACAATTACATTGTGGTTGAAGGTCAAAGGTCAATGTGACCTCACAAAACGTGACACAAACGCCCACTTCGACTCAAGGATGAACAAATTAGAATTTTGTGGTCGAAAGTCACTGTGACCTTGGGTCTGTCTCATTCTTGCGAACGCAGTGTCTCAAGAAGACCTCGACAGAATTTCTTCATATTCGGCACAAACGTCCACTTGGACTAAAGGATGGACTGATTACAATTTGGTCAGTGTGACCTTGACACTGTCTCATTCTCATAAACTTGATATATCAGGAAGGCCCTAAGGTCCACTTGGACACAACAATGAACTGACTCAATTTTGGTGATCAAAGGGCAAGGTCATTGTGACCTTGAGCCTGTCTCATTATCATGAAAGCAATGTCTCAAAAAGGCCTGTAAGGAATTTCTTCAAATTTGACACAAACGTCCCATTAGACTGAAGAATGAGCTGATTAAAAATTTGTGGTCAAAGGTCAGTGTGACCTCACAAAACATGTTTTTGGCCATAACTCAAGAAATCATACACTAATTATGACAAAAATTGACACGAATGTCTAACAGGATAAAATAATGAAGTCATGACATTTTATATCCAAAAGGTCAAAGGTCAGCTTGACTGTGACATCATCATGTTTTATCTCAGGAACAGAAGGGGATTTAAAGAGAAACTTGAGGGGTGGGCAGAGTCATACAGCAGCAGGGCGGTAATTCTAGTTCTATTAATCAGATCCAGATCACCTATTTTCTCCTTGTGTCAAGGAGCTATGCAACGTCTGGTTGTAAATTAAATTGCAGAAAATGTTGCCCTTTCAGGGCAATACCGTCTATTGTTGCCTGTACGCTTTGCTGGCCTCACCTGATTTTACCGTCCTGTTCTTGTCCACTAAAATGAATTTCCGTCTACTATCCCTCTGATTCCATGTGAACGCAGTTACCTTTTTGCCAGTGACAGAAAAATCAGAACAATAACAAGAGAAAAAGAAAAGTGAGATATCTGCTCATGAGTACGCCTGACATCACGATGGCTCCGCCCGGCTGCCGTGATCACTGGGAAGTCTGGGTGTGACTCGCCCTGTAGATGCGCTTCAGTTACCACCTTCTCTCTGTAGACGCCCCTAATGTCACTGTAACTGTGTGTGACTGTCAGCGCTGATCTTTGAGAACTGGACTGTTTTTGCATTGAGGCCAGTGTTGCACCAAATATATGAATATTATCTCATTTAAATATGTGAAAAAGCGCAGGAGCACTGAGTCGCTGTTTGCTCAGCAGGACGGTTACAGGTGCATTTCACACTTTGCAGGTGTTTCGAGAAAGATGCAGTTTCTTTTTTCTTTGTGCAGGTTTGGGAGCTGCAGAAGCCAGACAGTCTTTTTGTGGATTCACCTGTAAATTTCTTCCAAATTGGAGCAGAAATAATGAGCAGATTGTTTCACCGTTACATTTTGACTCAAATCTGTCGGCCTGAGATCTTAAAAACTTAAAAACAAATATGTGTAAAACTTTGTTCTCACAACACCTTTTATTCTTTCTGATATTCACTGAAGTTATTTGGGTTTTTTCCATCAGTTTCTCTTTGTGTTGAACTGAGTGTTTTGGTTTTGCAGGATAATGTTCATAAGCACTGGTTAAATTTGAATGTTTTAGTCCCAAAGTACATCCACAAATATTTACACTCTGCTGAGTAACAACAACATAATTATTCTGTTTTACCCCCACATGACATAAAACAAAACTCAGAGGAAGAAATCAGTTTTCAAGTGTCCTTTTTTCTAGTTTATATTTTAAGGAACATTTAATGATTTTGTTTATCAACTTTTAGTGGAATCATATGACGATGATGTGGTGATGTCATGATATCATTTCATATAACTGTTGTTCAAATTAATGATGGAAAGCAAAATCATCAGTGGAGGGTTTTGTTGTACTTCCAGTTATTCTGTTATGGGTCCATCTACCACATTAGGTGTTATAAAGATGTTATGTGTCATTGTTTCGATTGATCGGTCTGTAAAATTTCATCATGTTCCCAGAATCATGTTGATATTTTTTGACGTCTCCTTTGTCCGACAAATGATCAAAAAGAAAGAAACAGACAACAGAAGTTTTACAGCTCTGTTGATGTGATAAAAGTGAAACACTGGATTGAACTTTTACACGTGAACATTCATCTTATTGTGATGTCATACTGTATATCAATATTTCACATATCGCAGCTGTGATTTTATCCAAATCGTTCAGCACCGTGTTCGTGGACACACAGGAGGACGTCACGGCTGCTAGATGTGGACAGAATGATGCAGTTTGGGTTTAAAGTCATGGAAAAGTCCTGAAGGTTTATTCTGTGTTTGACATTTGATTTATTCTGTGAATGTCCTGCTGTCGTTGTTGGACTCAAACACGTCAAGTCCTCTGGGTGCAGAGCATCATGGGAAAGCGATGCTCCCCTTCTGACCCGCTGTGTCCTGTGTTTTGTTGTGATTGCAGAACATGTGACCTCTAACGCCAGCGATAGTGAAAGTAGCTACCGTAAGTGTGACACTCTGCCGTCGACGCTGAGAGCTCCGACACTAACTGCTAACTCCCTCTCTGATGTCATTAATGAGCACACGCTGCTGATTGGCCAATAACAGCATGACCTCACAAACACATACACACAGTTTATGTCCCTGAACGCTGCCTGTCCTCCTGACTGCTGCATGGACTTGAAACCAGCACAGATTTGAGACTCACAAAGGTCCTTCACTGGTCAAGGAGTCACTCGTCTTAGTTTGTGTTGGCACTAAACATGTGACCTCAGAGATGTCAGTCACTTTGTAACCTCACCGCTTTCAATTTTAACAACTTTTTCTTTGCTAAAGCTCGTTAAAGCCACAGAGACCTTCTTCAAAATACACATTACAGCACAGTTCTCTGATTGTCAGAAACAAACACAATTTTACACAATGTCAATAAATTTGGTCCAAAATAAATAAATAAATATGCAGAACAGGTTTTTTTGGTCCTTAATTTTTAATTAGCAAAAAATGATTAAAGTTTTGTCAGTTTTTTAAAGGATTAGTTTGTCATTTTTAACCTGGACCTTATTTTCACATGTTGTTGAGGCTCACTGTTCATAGTTAAAAAGTATCTTAAAGTCAAAGACAGCGGCGGTTAAACAGGCTGCAGTGTAACCACTCTGGGCATGTTCACACCGTCAGTGTGTCTCCACAACAAGAACCAGCAGCAACAGAAGCTGACTGTTGTGTTGCCTCGCGTCACCTGTGTCTCAGCCAAAAAGTTGCACTTGAACGCACTGCAGTGACTCCAGCTGACGGCCAACTACTGCATATGTTCAGCCCCTGAGTGAGAGGAAATAAGTCTCCACAGCAGCAGATGGCGGTCGTCTGTATTCATCATTCAAAAAGGGAAACAGGAAGAACGTCTTGATGCTAGTTAGCCAGTTAGCACACTACCAACACAATCAGAGCATATTTACGGGGCGCCAGTGAACAGTAACACAAACCATCAAGAAACGTTTGTGCTAAAGAGAAAAATGGATAAAGAAAAATAATCTTAACTAATTTAACACTCTCACTCCCTCTTTAGCTCTTTGTTTACTTTCCTCACTTCTGTTTTTCTTCTCGTGCGCTGACCTGAACTGACAGTTACAGTGATTTTATTCACCAACAGGCTCTGATGAAAAAAAAGATTGACAAAGGCCAACAAGACTAGTGCATAAGACGCTCGCTGACGGCCCAAAAGTGACAGCTGTCGGCTTGGTGTGACAGGGCCATAGGTGTCTGACATTAGGAAAGGATCCCTACAGAGATAGAGCTTTGTGTTAAAGAGTCAGATCCAGAAACAGTCCTGAAATCACCGTCACCAAACCCACCAGACTGCATTTAGATAAACAGTTTAGTGTGTATAGAGGCAGCATGTTGTCACATCTAACTGATGAATAAGAGTTAATTTAAACCAAAGCAGAGCTGGTGATTGTTGGAACAGTGGAAAGATGAACCAAGATGGTTTCTGAGAGTTTTACTGTGTTTCTGTCGACTCTGAGTGAAGTGTGTTTAATGATGATAGAATGACTGTTTATCTAAATGTAGTCTGGTGGGTTTGGTGACGGTGATTTCAGGACTGTTTCTGGATCTGACTCTTTAACACAAAGCTCTATCTCTGTAGGGATCCTTTCATCATGCTGTCAGACACTTAGAGTAACAGCCTGAGCCTGTCAGTGACAAACACACTTTAGGTGGACAGACACTGACGGTGTGAACACGCCGTCTGCGGCGCTCTCTCTCAACACTGGACCAGTTTAAAAACTCGTGGCTCCCATCAGTCACTTAGACACAAACACGTGAAAATAGGGCCCAGGTTAGAAAATGAGTGACCTTGTCCTTTAACATGTTTTAGACTTGTTTACGTCACCTGAAGTTTTCATGCTGTGCCTGCTATCAGTGGAGCAGCAGAGGACTCCTGAGTAAACGGTGGGATGAGTTATAGTGGAGCTGAAGTATAAAGCACCAACACCTCAACATTATATTTCACTGAATGTCGTTGATCCTCATCCTATAAATTAGACCTCAACACACTTATATTTTTTTAGCGTGTAGCCGTCAGCGTTGTATTTTCTGTAATCAGGTTGCTGCAGCAGGAATGAAGCCGATAATAAACAAATAAACTGATTTTACACATTAAATGCTGCAGGAATCACAGTGCTCCCTCAGTACAGACAGAAACTAACTGAAGTTAATCGTTCCTGTGATACACCTCATCTCATCCACTTCATCCCTCCTCCTCCTCAGCCTTCATCCCTCGCTCTCATCCCTTCAGTTAACCTCCTGTTGATGCAGCTGACTGATTCAAACTCTCTTCGTCTTACTAACCGACATCTCTGTGTGTTTGTGTGCAGGTGGGCAGGAGGAGTACGTTCTGTCGTATGAACCCGTCACTCAGCAGGAAGGTGAGAAGAGCAGCCGACGTCTGATCAGAGGACGAAACTTTTGTCTCTGCTGATACTTTAAAACTAATTTCAGAGAGGTTTAAGACTCATTCAGAGTTACTGAGGTGTTCAAACGTACCGCCGCTGTGCTGTTGGGAGGGGGAGTTTATATTCTGCAATTAAACTCTTAATAAACCTGGTGGATTTTTAAAGGTCCAGTGTTTCTGATTTAGGGGGAGAAATGGAATATAATCTAATCAGTGTGTTTTCTTTAGTGTTTAATCAGCTGAAAATATCAACATGGGTTTTCATAACCTTCGAATGAGACGTTTATATCTACATAAGGAGCAGGTCCTCGTCTACAGAGATCACCATGTTGCACCCACATGTTTCTACAGTAGCCCAGAACGGACAAACCAAACACAGACTCTACACAGGGCCATTCATGTTTTCATGTTAGCCACTGTAGTTAGCAACACCTGTGTGACAAGAGCATTGGAAAAACACATTAACATGTTGACATTTTGTCAGTATTTTTTGGACATTAAATTAAGGTGTTTGGGGCATTTTATTCCTTTTTTTTTTTTTTTTTTTTACATTTTATTAATATTTTAAGGACATTTTATTAACTATTTGAGGACATTTTATTCATTTTTTAAATTTTTGGGGGCATTTTATTAATATTTTTTGGACCATTTATTAACATTTTTCTGATACTGACATTTTTTGGACATTTTAATTTTTTTCTCCTTGACATTTTATCAAAACAAAAAGACATTTCAATATTGTTTGGGCATTGTATTAACTTTTGAGTCGGCATTTTATCAATATTTTAAGGACATTTTATGTTTTTGTGTGGCTTTTTATTAATACTTTTCAGAAATTCTTTAAACTGTTTTTGGGGGGGGGGGGGGGGGGTGTTTCCTTGTTTTTCTGTCCTGACAGTGTGCCACAACTTTCTTTACACAGGATGTCTATCACTTCTGGTAACCAGTAAACTAAAAAAACCTCTTTAATATTTTTTTTTATTTTTGGGACCATTAACATTTTTCTGACATTGACATTTTTTGGACATTTAATTGTTTTTCTTTTTGACATATTATCAACTTTTCTCTGACATTAACTTTTTTGTTTGGCATTCTTAAGGGTATAATCAGAAAAGGGTTTTTGTGTTTTCCATTACCATAGAATGAGCTGTACAGTATATGTCTAAATCTACGTACATAAATGTTTTCATGTCGGCCATCATATTTCACAGCCTCTCTGTGACAAGAGTGTCGAAGAAACACAGATTTTTTTTTTTTGTTTCTTGGTATAAATCAGCTGGTGTGTTTGTATCTGAGAGGAAGAGACCTGTAGGGATCATTCAGCTCCTGAACACTGAAGGAATTCTGACCATTTCAGCTGGTTGTAATCTGTAATCTGTAATCCTCACTGACAGACAACACTAAGTCCTCTTAAATCTGACACACTGGACCTTTAAAAGCTGATTTAGATATTTTTCACACAGGCAAAACACTGACATTTCACTAAATTAAATCCTTGATCAGTGATTTTTCAGTGAGATTTCAAACAGCATTATGGTCACTGTGGAGAGAGAGCGTAACAATAACTGGAGGTAAAAGCTTCACCATCAGCTGGTTTAAAGGAAGAGGAGACTGGTAATAAAGAAGAATTCTAGAAAATCAAAATAAAAAAAAGTATAAATTAAAAATAAATGTTGATAATATTTGATAGTGTTTTGGTTTTGCAGAATAAAAGTACTAAATACATTAATAATATTCACAAGCATCTTAAATTGAAATGAATAATTTCCAACGTTAAATCCACAAATATTTACACTGAGCTGAGCAACAACCAGAATCTGTTCTCCTTTATAATTACTCCGTTTTTTACCATGTGACATAAAAACAGTTTTCAGATGCTTTTGTTTTATATTTTCAAGAACATTCATTGTTTTTGTTTAAGTGGAATCACATGATTGTCACGTTATTTCATCATCTCACATTATTCTCTTTGAATTAATGATTTCAAGCAAATTGAAGTCATGGTAAATCACTCTTTGAGGATTTCGTTTTCACAGTTAAATAATGTAATTAAAATACCAAAAAATAATCATTTGCATAAATTAAAAAACGACTACAAAAATGACTAAAAATAGAATAGAAATGACTGAGAAGAAATAATCAGTGTATTTGTTTAAAAACAACAGGTTGCTTGGTGCATGGAGATATTTAAGTAGCTTAAATTAATACTGAAATAAAAAATACAGAAAATAACATTAAACTGTTAAATAGATAAATTTAATATATACATTTATTTTCAGGGGTTGGGTTGTTTTGGGATAATTCAGTGTCATGACTTCAGTGCTGATAAATTCCAGTGATGTATTTCTCCTCTGAGTCGTCATAACGAATCTGATCAGACTGAATTTATTCTTATTATATTTATTATTATATTCAGATTACAGCTGGGGCACTTGAGGACAGTGAGAGCAGAGACTTTGGTCGAGGAAAAAAGTTCAGCTCACTTCTGAACTTGTGTGCATTTTCTGTAAAAGTTGATGTGTTCAAAAAGCAAACTTGTGTCTCTCCCCATGTCATGTACATCACTTCCTGTTTCCGTCCTCTCTTACAGTGAACTACACCCGTCCCGTCATCATCCTCGGCCCCATGAAGGATCGGATCAACGACGACCTGATCTCTGAGTTCCCAGACAAGTTCGGATCCTGCGTCCCTCGTGAGTCCGTGCGAATATACGGCTCAGTAAAACTCCTGAAAACATGTCGGCCGAAATTATAAAGCTCCTCCTCCTTCTCCTCCTCCTCTTCCTCCTCTCTCAGATACGACCCGGCCGAAACGGGACTACGAGGTGGACGGCAGAGATTATCACTTTGTGGTGTCCAGAGAGCAGATGGAGAAGGACATCCAGGACCACAAGTTCATCGAGGCGGGACAGTACAACAACCACCTGTATGGAACCAGCGTACAGTCGGTCCGAGAGGTGGCCGAGAAGGTACCGACACTCGTGTTCAGTCATTTCTTTAAGAAGCAGCTCAGCAGACACAATCTGACTCTTCAGCTGTTGATCAATCAACAGTAAAGCTCCGGCAAGATACTGTAGTTTTACAGTTTTTATCCTGTTAACTTTATTATTCAGTGGGCTGCAGACATCTTAGAATATGCATTTCTATAAATATTATGTGTAATAAGATATAAAAACTTAGAAGAGATGAAATTAAATACATTTATTTAAAGGGGCAGCGTCGACATGAATACTGCGACTGTCCTGTTGGACGACCAGAAAATGAGCCCAAAAACACAGCCTGTTGCTGTCTGCTGTGGAATATGGCAATAAAGAAAATTATTACATTCAGTTTGTCAGAGGCCAACACCACCCCAACACCTCCCCAACACC